CCTTAGAACTGAAGAAGCTTCTCGGATGAGAAGTGAAACGTCTTCAAGTAACTTAAAGAAGTCCAGACGCTTTTCTTTGCAAGCTCCTTTGACTACAATGACCTGGATGACTGAGAACCTTCACAGACCCAAAGTCTCAAGTTTTCAAAATGTTTCAAAATCTCCCTCTGTATAAGTGTATGTCTCTGAGCTTCTGTACTGGAATATCATTAAAATGGTGATAAAAACCTGACACAATTGTACACTTGTGTTCAACCCAGCTGCGACAGCTGCAGTGGAACGCTCCAGGTTACAAAATCAAGAGTTGCACCACAGGCGGAAGATAAATTAAAACAGCAGTGTGTGCGAACTGATGCAAGATTATTTTCAGTGCACACTGCCGTGCTTTGGGGCACACGATGAGCATATTGAATACAACATGATGTTGTTCTCAATCACAACAAGTGACCTCAGCTCTCCTAAAATATACTGCATGTGATACTTTGGCACGCTGTGCATAAACAAGGATTAATACAAACACTTTTCAAAGACTTAAAATGTCAGTATTATTAAGTTCTAGCAATTTTCCCTCTGCTGGACTGAAACTCCACTGTGTAGGACATGAAGCACGTTTTACTGTAGTAAAAAAGAAACTTGCGCTCTTGGCCACTATCAGACATGGTATATGTAACACTACTCCATCATCAGTCAGATTTTGTGGATGTCAAACTTCTATAGAGGCGAGCAGCTCTCTGATCTCAGTTAACATTAGGCTGACACCTTAATCTGCTGCTGGGTAAAGATAGGGACTGTTTTGAAACCTGCTGTGGAGCCTCACCTCTGACAGTCCAGGCAGAGTGTCGTCATGCAGGCGGGACAGTTAAGCACAGCGTCGCTGTGAGGCAAAGCTTCAGGGTGGCGAAGCTTTGAGTGAAAAGCTGCAGCAGGTCGTTTTCTTCTGCTGTACCTGCACAGGAAGGTAAGAGGTGGAATGAGTCTCTGGAGGGAAATTAAAAAAAGAAAGAAGCAAAAACATCTGGTGGCATGTGTTTTAGAAATTGTAAGAGAATCTGTGTTACTCTCTCCTCCTGGCGTCAACCCAGGCCTGGTCTCTGTCGTCCTCGTCGGGGTCGTACAGCAGCTCGTCATTGGTCGGAATGGTCCGCTGTCTCCGCCTCTGGCTTGTTGAGCTGCCTACAGAAGAAATTTTAAATACTGTTAGTGGCAGGTTGTACATGTATTCTGTCATCTAATGATTCAGTTAAAAGGACTAGATGTTACAGTCCCTGATAATGCATTGCTTTAGATCACAGGTGTCGAACTCCAGGCCTCGAGGGCCGGTGTCCTGCAGGTTTTAGATGTGTCCTTGATCCAACACAGCTGATTTAAATGGCTAAATTATCACCTCAACATGTCTTGAAGTTCTTTAGAAGCCTGTTAATGAACTAATAATTTGATTCAGGTGTGTTGAAACAGGGTGATATCTAAAACCTTCGGGACACCGGCCCTCGAGGCCTGGAGTTTGACACCCCTGCTTTAGATGGAGAGACTCTCGAGGGACGGCTGTTATGAGGAAAGGCAGCCTAGAAACTTTATCAGCAGCACACATCGTTGTGTGCCTCAACTTTCGGTCTTCTACCCAGGCTAATCTGCCATTTTCCTTCCTTGGTTAGGTTTAGGGATTAGAGATCGATCTAGATTATCATTTTAAATTTGGGACACATCATCATCTTGGATTCATCAGGTGTTTCGGCCATTATCACTAGACACCCTCATCCAAGGAGGCCCTGCTAGGGTTGATCAGGCCCTGGAGTGTGTCACTGGTTTATGTTAAATTGTTATTTCTCTCCTTTTTTCTTCTGTTTAGTTTCCTACAGTTTATTTTCTATCTATTCACTGCAACTGAGAAATAATACTTAACTCTTTAACATTTATGGAGCCTAACTTCTTCAAAGGGATAGAAAAGGTGATAGCGAGAAATAAGACAATGACTGTTAGTAACCACAGCAGGAAAACCAGTTCTCTTACTCGGTGTGCCGTCCTCCTCTGAGTCCGAGTCAAAATAAACCTCATCATACATCTGTGGGTTAGAAAGTCCAGGACCACCAACAGCACTTCCTCCCCCTTCTGCTCCTCCTCCTCCTGGTTGTTTTGAGGTCTCTACCAGAGAACAAATACACAAATGCAAAGCACAAACTGTATTTACAGAGACGGTCTGTCAGACACAGCAGGATAAGTTAGTTAACCTTGGGATTAAACTTGGCTTCCTCCTATACCACTAGCGACACAACATAATACTTGTTTTGTGCTTAAACACACGCTGCAGCACATTATTTAGTGAGTCAGAAATTAATGCTGGGCATACACTGTGCGATTTTTGGCTCATTTTGAGACGATTTTTCAGTCGTGCGACTGTTTTGGGGATTGGCCCGAGTTTCGCCTTCATCGTGTGTCGTGCATCGTGTAGTATACGT